TTCCCAGCAACCTCAAAGTAGTATTGACAGAATCAAGATTCCATCTCAACTTCTGACAACAAAGCCCAGGTTCTTTTCATAACACAATGCTACCTCTTAGCAGAGTTCTTTTCTGGCTTTACATTTTTAAAAAACTGTATTTATCAAGATTGACAGATGGTTGCCATCCTTTAGAATTGATGATGCTGGTGATCATGTTATCCTGTATAAATATAAACAGGGCAGAAATGAGAAAAATATAATTAGGAGGCAATCTTCAGTCTTAAAATGAAGATATGACGGATGATCTTCAAGGGTCCTTCTAGCATTACAATTCTAATATTTCTTGGGTTATTTATTTTGCTAAGATATTTGGGAGCAGCTATAGAAACCTCTGGCTATTTTCTAACTTTCTGAAATCTGTTCAAGATAATATTATAATACCTACTCAATCACTATTTTATAAAAACTTTTAGAAAGCATTTGCACTAATGTAATACTCACAACTCTGTGAGAGGTATTAGGTGAGGGGGCTCAAATAGATTGTGGTGACTTGGCCCAAATCACCAAACTATACAAAATAACAGAGCAATTGCAAATGCATGTCTATCCTACTCACAACTTAGAACACTTCCTATTCCATAGTAGATGTGACCAACAATAACAGCATTCACTTGTGCATCACCAAAACTTTGTCACATGCCCCCTTATTTTAGTCCTCAGAACAACTCTGTAATGAAAGAAGTCAGGTAATATTATTCTAACCTTTTTACAAAAAATGAAAACTGAGACTCAAGAGAATTTAAACCATTTGTTCAAGAATCCTTTAACATAGGTCTTCTGACTCCAAGTCCAGTGCTTCTTTTGTTATTGAAATGTACTGTCAATTACAAGTTGGCAGCTTCAATATAGCTTTGAAACATTTCTATGCCTACCTATGTAACATGTTTTCTCTAAACCTGAACTTCACTAAGTGTACTGAGCTCATGAAGGCATTATTTTTATGTTTATGTATGATATAGTAACTCATGTTTCTAATATAAGTTTATAAGATAGAAACATATTTTCTAAAGATATTTATCTAAGAGGATGCTCACCCAGATTTTGAATGATCAGGAATAAGTTTCTAATTATTAGAAAAATCCTACTTAAATCCCAACAGGAAAAAAAAAAGAAAAGATGCTTAATTTGGCAGTCTGTTAAGTTATAAATCAGCCTTCTCCTTGCTTATATCCAATTAATAAGACAGATAGTAGTACAGCCTTTCTGTCTTTAATTCCTCAGAATCTTCCTACCTAAATGCACTGCCATTACTAAAGCCCAGAATGATCTCATTTAGTAAAACAGCTTCTTGCCCTTTCATTAGGCCCTAATCTAAATTATAGTATAAAGACATAAGGTTCTGTACTCACGACTGGCTCGTGATAAAGGGCACTGGCTTGCCATGTGGCCTGATGAAGTCCTGGGACACAGAAAGATCTTTTTTTCTATTTTATCAGTCTTACAGCAGGCAATTTATGTTGAGCCAAAAAATAAAATATAATCTTTGGCCATCTGGTTCTGTAACACTCTATATTTGTTTAGAAAGGTCACTGTTGTCAAGTTATTGAATGTTATCTCTGGAATTGACAGGAAGAGAGGAGTTTCTGAAAGCAGGCCAGAAATATTAAAGCACCGGATATTAAGGTGTAAAGAAGTATTTAAACGGTTGGACTTTTAGTATTAAACAGACCACCATTCAAATCCCAACTCCACCACCTACGAGTTAAATGATCTTGGGCAAGTCAGCAGCTTTCTTAATCTATTTTTCCCATTGATAAAACATAGATACTGCCACTCTAGAAAGATAGTGCCACCATAAAATGGCATAACATATATATATATATATGATATATATATGATATATATATGATATATATCACTAGCTTACAGTTACCATTCAAAACTTACTCAACATTTTCTGTGTAATTTGTGTCCTCACTTTTCTTTAATTTTGAACAAAATTAAAATTTTCATTACTTTTATAAATACTTATCCAGACAGAAAAGTAAAATTTAAAGACTCACAATTTATACTATGCATATCAAATATGTGGACTTAGAGCTTACCTCTAACAAAAACTTCAGTGCATCCTAAGCATTTAAGCAACATTCATTCTTTTTTCATCAGCTTTATAGCGCCTATTATTGTGTTAGTGAAATGACTGGGTTGCTGTGTCACTGAAGAATGAATACTAGGCAATACCAAATTCATATCTGAACAACTTCAATGGGACTAAGACTGATGTTACTGGACAACTGTTACAATATCCTGATGTTGTTATGCAATAGTTACTTTCTTTGCATTATGTAGTTTTCTATTAATGTTTCACAGCAGTACTATAATCCAGCTATTGTAGTAACAAGATGACCCGCAGTTGATTTAGACTATTTATTTAGGCCTTTTCCCTTTGTGAGATTAGCAATGTACACAAATAATTAAAACAAACATTTTTAAAAGCTGCTTAATCAAAACTCCATCCAGGACATTGACAAAGAGCAACGTTTTCAATTCAGTAGGCCAGATTTCAGATCGACTTATGAAACTCCTTAAGTATCTCAAAGGGGGGCAAATATTTCACCTTCACTTTGACAGGCATGGCCATCAGGATGTACTAAACTAAATTATCCCCACACATGACTGGTTTCCCCCAAAATCAAAGTAGGCACTATAAAATAGAGCAAAAGCCACAGTTTCAGGCTAGGAAAGAACATTTTCTTCTGTTTTCTACCTCAAAAATTTGCTGCTATACATTTTCCTATTTGGAGTCAACAATAAAAGGTACATATCTTCCATATAAGCCATTGAGTGGATTCTCTGTTTTCTCCATAATATTGACGTAGGAGATTTGGGAGTAATTAAAAACAAATTTCATCTTATATGCATATATGCATAACCCATCAACAAAGACAATATTGTTGTGGTGAAGGTCTAGGGGTGGGTAGGGGCTGGGCAGAGGTGGGTAAAGGGAGGGAGGGGGAAATGGGGACATCTGTAATACTGTCAACAATAAAATAAATTTTAAACTCCCGGATCCAGCCAAGAAGACTACTTACAGACCAACAAGAATCTAAAACATGTATACCAAATTAAGGGCTATAAATAAAAATAGATCAGAGAAATCTATAAGCTTATACAGAAAAAATATTAACTGAGAAGCAACCCTGACCAGCCTTCACTTACTCAAATTATAAACCCACACTTTCCATTCCCTCTCCAACCATACCCACAGCTGTCCATGGCATGCTGAAAACTCAGTCTGTCAACTATCGTGGGCCCTGCACAATTCTACTCCCAAATGTTGAGTTGTATGTTTTCCCAAAACCAGTAGTATTTATTCCAAAATCTCATCAGGGGAGGTCTATTGTTATTATAATGAGCAAAATAATTAAACATTAGATAAACGATGAAAGCAAAAATGAAAGGTATCTTTAAAAACTAAGTCAAACGCTTTACAAAGACTTGATAAAGGCAACTTATTACAAAACACTGTTGTCGCAAGTAGTAAAAGAGAAATATGAAAACTGGAATAATGCATAAAATATAGAATAGTGGTTCTCAAACTTTAGCATAGAGGTTGTGAAAACATACACTGCTGAGCTCCAATCCCTTGGATTCTAATTCAGTAGGTATGGGGTAAAAGCAAAGATTATGCATGCTGAGAAATTTCCATGGGATGCTGATGCTGCTGGTCTGGGAAACACACTTTGAGAACCATTGCTTTTCAATTGTCTAAATTTTTAATCTACATTAAATAACAAAATGTAAACTGGAAATTACTTGTTATAAATGTTGATTTATGAAAGACTTGGAGTTCCAAATAGCAAATCTATATACTACAAGGAAAGACCTTGGCCCTAATCAGAACACAGTTCATTTGCCTGGGCCAAGGACAGACTGAAGGGTGTCAGGTTCAGTCCCTGGTCAAGGGCACATACCTGGGTTGCAGATTCAATCCCTGCTTAGGGTCATGAGGGAGGCAACCATTCATTGTGTCTCTGCATCAATGTTTCTCTCTCTCTCTTTCTCTCTCTCTCATTCCCTCCCACTCTATCTAAAAATCAATGGAAAAATATCCTTGGTTTAGGATTAACAACAACAACAAAAAAAATGTAAAAAGACAGTACATTTATATGTTAGAGATGTACGCAACATTTTTTATGGCCTACTATTTCAACTGACTTTTAAAATTAATGGATGTACTATGAGAACCAAACTTATCAGAAGAGATCTCCTGTCAAATATGGTCCATAAAAGTACCACTAGAGCCCAGGCTGAGTGGCTCAATTGGTTGAATTGGTTGGAGCATTGCCCCATACACCAAAAAGTTGCGGGTTCGATTCCCAGTCAGGGCACATAACTAAGTTGCAAGTTCAATCCCAGGTTGGGGCACATAAGGAAGGCAACCAATCGATGTCTGTCTCTCTCTCTCTCTCTCTCTCCCTCTCTCTCTCTCTCTCTCTCAAAATCAATAAAAACATATCCTCAAGTGAAGATTTAAAAAAAAAAAAAAAGTACCACTAGAGTTTGAAATTCCCTTCCACTTTCCTATTTGTTAAGAAGGAAATTCTAATGTGATAGCCTCCTTGGTTAAAAGGCTTCAAAAAAACATAAGCTCTCAATATCAAGGAAGCCTTAAAATAAAATGTAAGTATCATTATCTTCAATTTACAGATGAGATTTCTGCCTCTAAAAGGATAAGACACATCTAAAGGTAAGTCAGCCAACAAGTGGCAGAGTCAAAACTTGACTCCAGATCTGCTTCCAAATTGAAAATGTTGGTTTTCCCCCCCAACCTTACAGTATTACAGTATAGTCTTTAAACAAGAGAGGTTAAAAGCAACATTGAGGTCCCAATCAATCTTAGCATCTACAGAACAGAAAATGCTAAAATACATATAGCTGTGAGAACTAAATGGATTTTAAGCATTATATCTGTTGTCTTGAACATAATCATAAGCATCACCTTAAGCTGTACTTACTATTAAATGGCTAGACAGAATCATCAAATACAGAACACTAGAAGGTAGCTGGCCTACCAGCATTGAAGTCCAGTCTTTGGCAACACAGCTCCACTTAGCAAGATATCTGTGGAGAATGGCTGACAGAAAGGTTCATAAGGAGAAGCTGCATGGAGACAAACAGGTTCAGAAAGTTGAAGAACACATTAGGTATAACCAGATTCAAAGATATGGCATTTATGAACTGCTTGGAAACCAAAGCTGATAAGCCAGCCCAGTGAAAGCAATCACAATTATGATACTATTAAGGCAAGTCTATCATTTTAGAAACTAGAAATAGAAACAAAAAAGCACTATATAAGATGCATCCACGTAGTTTCATATGAATTTCAGAAGTAAAGAGAACTGTATCTGTTAAACTATGAAGGAATTCAAATGTCCAGTTTCATACTATATTCAATCTAATATATTTACAACACGGCATTCAAGGATCCAACTCTTTCCATAGGTTTGGGAAGTTCTAAATGACTGTTTGAAGAGGCTTTCTGTTCCCTTCTCCTTATCTTTTCCTTCTGGTATACCCATTATTCTTTTATTGTACTTTTTGATGGAGTCAAGATAGTTTTCAAAGTGTTCATTCTGCCCAGCTGGTGTGGCTCAGTGGTTGAGCATCGACCCATGCACCAAGAGGTCACCAGTTCAATTCCTGGTCAGGGCACATGCCCCGGTTGTGGGCCAAATCCCCAGTGGGGGACATGCAGAAGGCACACAATCGATGTTCTCTCTCATCAATGTTTCTATCTCTGTCTCCTTTTCCCTCTTCCTTCCACTCTCTATAAAATCAATAAAGAAAAAAAAAAGCACGTTTTTTTTTTTTTCCCCAAAACATGCTCAACCACACTAGCTATTATGGAAATGCAAATCTAAACTACATTAAGATACTACCTCACACCTATTAGAATGCTTCAAATAAAAAAGACAAATAATAACAAGTATTGGAGAAGTTGTAAAGAAAGAGGAACTCTCATACACTGCTGGTGGAAATGTACATTGGTACAGCCATTATGGAAAACAGTATGGAGTTTCCTCAAAACAAAGGGAACAAAATTAAGAATAGAGCTACTCTTCTTCTGGGTATCTACCTGAAATATTGGAAAGCATTTATTTGTAAAGATATATGCACCCCTATGTTCACTGCAGCATTGTTCACAGCAGCCAAGACACGGAAACAACTGAAGTGCCCTTCAATAGATGAATAAAGACATGGAACATATATACAATGAAATACTACTCGGCCATAAGAAAAGATGAAACACTGCCTTTGCAACAACATGGATGGATCATGAGAATATCATGCTAAGCAAACTAAATCAGTACCAAAAAGTCAAATCCATATGACATCATTCATATGTGGGATATAAAACTGAAAGCAACAAATGGGCAAACAAAAACTCATAGACACAGACAACAGTGTGGTAGTTACCAGAGGGAGAGGTGAGTGGAGAAAAGGTAGTTAAGAGTAAATCTGACATTAGGTGGTGAACACACAATGCAATATACAGTTGATGTGTCCTAGAATTGTATACTTGAAACCTATATAATTTTATTAACCAATGTCACCCTAAATAAATTTAATAAAATTAAAAAAAATAAAGAATGGCATAATATTTAGAAAATAATTAAAGGCTTTTAAAAAAACAAAACAAAGCAAAAACACTGGCCCCAAATGATGTTCTGTGTTTGAGGTCAGGAAACAGTGTGAAGATTTGCAATAATTGTAAAACATCTCCTAAAATAACAAATCTGTTTCTTTAGAAAGTGAAAAATAAGTAAGTAAAATAAAGACGTAACATTTTAGCAGTAAGTTAAAAACCTCAGAATGGTTTGGATGGCCACTATAAATTTTCTTTTTTCTTTTTGAAAAAAACTAAAAATGACAAGTGTTGGTGAGCATCTGGAAAAATTAGAAACCTCTGTGTTGTTGGTGGGAATGTAAAATGGCACAGCTATTATGAAAAATAGTATGGAAGCTCCTAAAAAAATAAAAAACAGAATTGCCACCCCATGTGGCAGCTCTAAGCTACACTGAACAATCTCTGTTTATGAGATTACATCTCCACTGGGCTGGGCAACTTTGGAGAACAGAACCAATAATATATGAAAAATGCAGACAAAAATACTTAAGACTTCTGAAATATTCCACCTAGGGTATTTCTCTTTTCAACAGCCCTTTTTATATGCATTTATCTCCAGATGCCTTTTTCCCATGATCTCCTCTATTCTCCAAAGCCCTTTGTTCCTCTCTCCCCACCACCCCACATTTAGAGGAAGAAAAGAACTAAATTTTCCATATCCAAACAAAATCAAGAGTATCTCTCATTTCCATATATTGCTGTTTCATCTCCAAGGAAACAAAGCCACAATTTAAGAACTAGGGTTAATGAAATCTTTTCACACTGACTTCACTCTGGAGCATTTTTTAGAAGTGTCCAGTAGTATCGTAAAATTAAGTCCCGAAGACTCCATGAACCAAAATGCTCTACTGGTAAAGGTTATATAAATACATTATTTAACATGAAAATTACACATTATAACCTCTATTCTATAAGAGTATACTTGAGCTCTGTAATATCTTCTATTCCCTCACTTCCTGCCTTCTTTTGTGTTAAGTAGATATTTTCTAATGTATAGATTTTCATTTCCTTGTTTCTTCCACTAAATTTTTTTTTGCACTATTTTCTTAAGTGGTTGCCCTTAAATTTGCAATTAACATTGTAACTTAAACATCCTAGTCTGAATTAAATTAATTCCAATATATAAAAACTTTCCTGCTATATACCCCCATTCTCTTACCTTTCTTTTTATCATTATCGTCAAATTATATCTTTATATGTTATAAGCCCATCAACAAATTTTTATTACTATTGCCTCATGCAGTTGTCTTTTAGAACAGAAGAAAAAAGTTACAAAGCAAAAAATGCATTTATATGTATTTTTATGCATATCTTTTATAATACTTAAATAGTTTCCTTTAGTATTGCTCTTTATTTTCTCATATGGATTAGAGTTTACTGTCTGGTATCCTTCTGTTTCAAATTGAAGGACTCTCCTTAATATTTCTTGTAGGGTATGTCTGCTAGCAACAAATTCTCTCAATTTTTGTCTGTCTGTAAATGCCTTAATTTCTCCTTCATCTTTGAAGTTTAGCTAAATACAGAATTCCGGGTTAACAGTCTTTTTCTTTTAATACTTTGAAAATGTCTTCTAGTCTCCATGGTTTCTAGTAAGAAGTCTACTATTGATCTTTTTGGGGATCCCTTTCATAAGTTATTTTTTTCTTTCTGCTTTCATTTTTGCAAATTTGACTGGTGTGTCTAAGTGTGGATACCTTTATTTAACTTGAAGTACACTGAGCTTATTTAATGTGTAAATTAATATTTTTAAGTTGTTTACTGCCATTATTTCTTTAAATATTCCTTCTGCATCTTTCTTCTGATCATCTATTGGGACTCCCATTATGCATATGTTGTCACACCTGATGACATCCTATAGATCTTGTGAAGCTCTGTTCATTTGCTTTATTTTCTTACTACACTTCAAACTGGATAATCTCTATTGAATTATCTTCAAATTAACAAATTATTTCATTTGTCAGCTCATCTGTTAAGCTCATCTAGTAAATTTTTCATTTTAGATATTATACTTTTAAGCACCAGAATTTTCATATGGTTCTTTTTAAATAATTTCTATGTTGATGATACTCTCTTTGGCAAGACATCATTCTAATATCTTCCTTTAATTCTTTAGACATGGTATCATTAAGTTCTTTGAACATATTTATAAAAGCCGACTTTAAAGTCTTTTTTATTAAGTCCAAATCTGGGCTCCCAAAGGGACATTTTCCAGTTGACTGATTTGTGTGTTTTCCTGTGTATGTGCCATACTTTCCTGTTTCTTGCATGTCTCATAAGGTTTCGTTAAAAACTGAACATTTTAAACAATGTATTTTAACAACTCTAGCATCAGAATTCTCCACACCACACCACCAAGATTTTTATCACTGATATTGTTTATATTGATGATGTTTATTTGTTCAGCACTTTCATGAACTAATTTCGTAGATTCTGTATTCCCTATAGTGTGTGGCCACTGAGCTCTCGGCTAAATTTTTTTTTAAGTTCTTATTTTTAAGCCTTGCTTCCCAGGAGTTACATACACTGGGTCAGTATAATGTAGTGGTCAACCAATGATTGGTTAGAGGATTTCCTTAAATGCTCGCCTGTATGTCTTCCACCTCTTGCCAAAGGAATCTTTATGAGAAGTCACACCTTCGAAATTCAAGCAGTTTATAAGACAACCCTAGCTTTCATTTTTTACTTACATAAAACCTTAGCCAGAGGTGATCTCCTTTCCCAGGTCACTCCTGGGCATGTGCACAGCTTTGCACATTGTGCAACTTTGTGGATATCCAGGAATATGTTAGAGCTTTTCAGAATTCCCTATGGTGGGCTAATTCTCCAGGATTTCCTTATAAAATCCTGGCCAGACTCTTGTTTGCCCCAACTGAAATCACAGCGTTAAGCAGTAGACATGTTGCCAACAGTTGCTATTGTTTCAGCAAAGCCTGGGGAGTAGGCATTCCCTTTCCCCAACTGAGCTGAGCTCAGAGTCAAATCAAATAACCACTCTCTGAGAACAGAGTTTTCCCAGGGAGCTGCAAGCTTGGACAAAATATCAACTGTGCTTTGGAGCTGGTGCTTTTAATGAATCTCTAAAAGTGGTCAGATCTCTCTGCTGTCTGTAATGCTGCCAGCTTTTGCTATACCACTAAGCTGGGGAAGGAGGGAAGAGGGGAATTGCCTTAAGTTAAAATGTCAGACTCCACTGTCTTCTCATGGTCCAGTAGTTTTCTCTTAGGCAGTGGATTTTCAGTTCATTCTCTGGTTTTGGTTAATTGCCAGAATTCTGAAATGGTTGAATGAAATTGTTTTGCCCATGGTTTTGTTGTTTTAGAGCAGCGGTTCTCAACCTGTGGGTCGTGACTACTTTGGGGGGTCAAATGACCCTTTTACAGGGGTCACTTAAGACCATCGGAAAACACATATTTCCGATGGCGATTCATAACTGTAGCAAAATTACAGTTATGAAGTAGCAACAAAAATAATTTTATGGTTGGGGCTTACCACAACATGAGAAACTATATTAAAGGTTCTCAGCATTAAGGTTGAGAACCACTGTTTTAGAGGGAGAGCAAATATACTGAGGCCCTCATTCTACCAATCTGAAAGCCAATCAATTTCTGGAATAGTAAATCTATCTTTATGTAGTTTTTAAGACCAAAAAAAAAACGTATTTAAAAAAATATATTATTTTAAAATGTTAACGTATAAATTTTTGGATCACTGATTCTTTTCTCTAGTAGAAACATGAAAAAAAGCAATATTCAATATTTAAAGTTAAACAGGTGTGAAACTAACCTGTGAGAGGAAAAAATAAACTGCATGAGCAATGGCTCACTGTACTATTATATCTTTCCTGCTAACTAATATATAAATGATGACAAATAAGGTGATTCCTGGTCTTAGATCCACTCTCAGCTCCAAAAGACTTTTCAAGTTCAAGTGAGGAAGAAAAACTATTCCATCTTGTCTTACTTGGTTGACCTAGGCTAAATCCAACTCAATTCTGACAGGGATAAAGGAGTGACAAAAAACGGGGAGTGAGAAATTTAACAGAGAAGAGGAATCAGACCCCTGAACGTAGAAAGCAACCCTACTGCCTGAGATTTCTCTGAAGAGATTCAGTAGAGAGATTGGTTTACCTCAGATTCACTCAAGTATCAGCCAAACCAATGTAGTTGTGGTAGAATAAGGTGAGCTTCTGTAAAGGAAAATAATTAGTTATTACTATTATCTCTCTTCAACATTGCCTGATATTTGCAAGCCACAGAACGACCAAAACTATCAAAAGTTGACAAGAAAAATCAATATCCTTTAGCAAAACTTTTGTTTTCAAGAACACTATTGATGGTTCTTTTGCTTTTTTACTGTTGTGTAACAAACCACCCTAAAACTTACTGGCTCAAGAAAACAACCATTTCATTTGTGCATAATCCCGCAGGCTGAGCTGGACTTAGCTAGGCACGTCTGCTCATTCTGCTGATGGTCACTCATGACTGCTTTCATTGGGCAGGTGGGAAGTGGGCTCAGCTAGAATACTAGGATAACTAGGTTTCTCTTTCCATGCAATCTCAGGGCCTCTCTGTCTCCATGTGACCTCTTTTCCAAATAGTCTCTCTGGGAAGGTAGCCAGATTTCTTACATGACTCAGGCCTCCCCAAAACACAAAAGCAAATGCTACTTGGCCTTGTAGGGCTTACACCCAGAACTAGAACAGTTTAATTCTATTGCGTTCTATTTGTTAAAGTAAGCTACAGGCCCATTGCAGATTGAAAGGGGTCTCCTCACAAGGGCATGAATACGCAGAGGTGTAATTCATTTTCAATCAGTGTGTCACAATGATTTTTGAAACATGCAATAGCTAACCATTTAGTCAGGGGCACTGACCTCTTTTCCCTTAGACTGTCAAATTAAAAAATGACAACAGCCAACACAACAACAGCCATCCAGTGTGAATGCCATCTTGAACCATAAATATATAGGGCATATAACAGAGTTGCATCTCATTGGTCACATCACATAAGACTGCGTCTGATTGGTTAATTCTTGATACCAGAAATCCTTGTATACAAGTATAGGCAGCTGAGTTTTTAGAAAGTCACTTTGGAGCAAAAAGGGTAGGTAACTACTACCTTTTTTTTGGGGGTAAATCAATAAAAATTATGCCTACTTTTTGTCAGATGAGCAAAAATATATTTTTTGGTGTGCCACATAATTTTAGTAATTAGTCTGCGTGTCCCATAAGATGAAAAAAAAAGGGTTAAAAATCACTGCTATACACAACTAACACATTAAGGCCAATGTTCACAGGAATGAAATGGGAGGAACACAAGAAACTATAAAATGGCTACAGCTAAATGAAGACTGGGCATTATAGTCAGATTCCATTGTGTCTTCCCATCCTGAGGGTCAATCCAGGTTCAGTGAGAATCTTAAATATACGTGGAAGGAAAATATGAACTGATTAATCACTTACAAGCCATATGATCTTGGACAAAGTCAATCATTCTCTCTAAGTCTCAGCTCCTCAACTATAAAATGGAAAATTATATAGGCCCCACTTATCTTAAAGGAAAACTGTATAGAATAAATAAGACAAGAAATGAGAAAAAAAGCTTTGAAAACTAAACTGTTCTGCAAATATAAGAAAGTGTTATTTATCTAATGGAATCCTAAGTATACTCAACTTATCTAGGCTCCATTCCCTTTATTAATAAAATTATAATAACCACAGTTAATTATCCCATATGCTAAATTGCTACCAAAGCAATGATATTATATATAATAGTAGGCTAAAAGTACACTATGTTCTGTTACTATACAGAATAACAACACCAATACTAACTGATTTATTGTTGTCTGATTATATGGCAGGTCTGCAAGCTATTTCAGGTAAACTATTACCCTTACAAATAACTCAACATGGTAGTATTATCCCTCTTTTACAAGTAAATAAACTGAGTCAAAATAATGATTATTTAAGTAACCTGCCCATGGTCACACAGCAAGTAGAGAATCCATTATGAATGCTTAATATATAATAGATACTTGATAAATATTTGCTGTCTAAGTTAAAGAACAAATAAACAAAGCTAAGACTATCTGGCATTTAAAGCAAGGAGTCTTTCAACTATAGCAAACAACCTCTCATTATTTCTATTTTATATGCAGTTATTGAAACTATAATCACAGCAAACACATCTAATTAACATGAGCAATCCATCACCTTTCTCATCTGCAAAATGGTTTCCCATCTAAAAATCACCTTCATTGTTTCCAAGGTCTAATCTTTAATTCATCTACTGGGTCATTATGAGTTATAACGGTCATATTATAATGTGGAAATACCAAGTGGAAAAGAAAAATAAGTAATACATTTACATACCAAAATATCTCTAAAATAAAACCAAAAAAAGAGCAACTATTTTTAAATGGCAAAATATGTGTAGTGTGATTGACAAGTAAATGTTCATATCCTTATATTATGAAGAGGTCTTAAAATTTAAGAGGAGGAGGAAGAAAAGATACTGCCCAACAGAAAAATGGGCTAAAGATATAAATGGACAGTCAACAAAATAAATAAGTGGCTGATAAACATGTTTTTAAATTGTTTTAGTCATTAATTATAAAGATTGCAAATCCAAGTGAGATTTTTTTTTCAACTATCCGATTGGCAAAAATACAACAAAAATTACAAAGACTGATCATGCCCAGTGTCAGAGAGCATACAAAGAAACAAAATATTAAAGCACTAGTGGTGGTAGTATACAGTGGCATGACCTTTCTAAAGAGCAAACTGGTAACTGATAAAAACATTCAAAATGTGCCTATATCCTCTAACCAACAAGTTTATTCCTAAGAATTCATATAAAGGCAACAGACAGTTGCACAAAGATGCACACACAATTAGTCATAATATCAAAATACAAGATACCACCTAAATGTCTAGCTAGAGAACTGCTTCAATAAATTGATATTCATATGATGCCAATAAAGAGATATAAAATGTTATTTATTACCATGAAAAGATGTTCAAGATATGATTGTCAAAGTTAAACAAATTTTATGACCCAATTTTTATAAAATTTGTACTTGCAAAGGAAAGCGAGAGAGCACATGTAAGCAGAAGCACCCCCAAGAGCATCGGAGCTAGCACATATGCACTCACTGAGACAGAAATCCTGAGAAAATGTGACAGTAATCTTGTGAGCAGATGTGTAGTGATCATCAAGCAGAAGGATGTGTTTTTTTGCTTTGTTCTTTGTAATTTTCTCAATTTTCAGAATGTTTTATAATAAGCATATATAATTTTTATGATCATAATACAATAAAATTATTTTCACTTCAAATAATGTTAACTGTCATAAACTTGAGGTTCTATAATCCTTCAACTGTTATTACTTTTAATATAAAATAATTATTAAAAATCAGTTGATATGCCCTGGCTGGTTTGTCTCAGCGTTAGAGCGTGGGCTTGCGGTCCAGAGAAACCGGGGTTCAGTTCCCGCTAAGGGCACATACCTTGGTTGCAGCTTGTCCCCGCCCTGGTTGGGTCATGCGGGTGGCAACCACTCGATGTGTCCCTTTCGCTTCAATGTTTCTCTCTCTCTCTCTCTCCCTCCCACTCTATCTGAACAAAAAATGGAAAAATGTCCTCGGGTTAAGATAAAAAAAAATCACTTGATACGGATATTGAATGAACATGTACATTTATTGCACTTTCAAATGATAAATTCAAAATCATAAATCCTTCATAGTAGTTTCTACCCACAAATCATTTATTTAAAAATGTCATTTCGCCCTGGCCGGTTTGGTTCTGCAGTTAGAGCGTCGGCCTACGGTCCTGAGAGACCCGGGTTCGGTTCCCGCTAAGGGCATGTACCTCGGTTGCAGTTTGTCCCCAGCCCTGGTCGGTTGTGCGGGTGGCAGCCACTTGATGTGTCCCTTTCACATCGATGTTTCTCTCTCTCTCTCTGTTCCTCTCTCACCCTCCCACTCTACCTGAACAAAAAATGGGAAAATGTCCTCGGGTGAGGATAAAAAAAAAAAAAAAAAAATGTCATTTCAAAAAATAAAAGTGAAGTAGAAATGTCTATGTGTTATAGGATTTATGTGGCATAAATATGCTACATTATATGTCTTTGAGAAATAACTTGCATATGTAAAGTCCTAGAGACTTGATTCTATAGCTCAAAAAAATCCAGCATCACGTGGTATGTTAACTTGGGAACCAAACTAGCACTTGTTGTTATACAGTATAATGAGAATTCTCAATTAGCCATGGGTGAGATTACCCATAATTAATCTGATCAATTTAGCTATTGTACCCAGAGTGTAAGCAGTTTAGTTACTTGTTTTTATAGCATTCTCAGCTCTGTTTACTTTGTACAAAGTCAGGATTTGAGAAAAAGAAATACTTAAACTCAATTATTCAACTTGGATAGTGGATAGGCAAGTGAGCAGCTACTATCCTCAGGAATGACTGGGAATACATGCAGATATACCATTACCCTGTTTCCCACCTGGGGACTTTGGAAATCTTGGGGACCATTTTGGTTGTCACAATAACTGGGGAGCAAGAGTAGTTCTCATGCCACTTTGGACCACATCTGCTAAAGATGCAAGTATATGTGGACTCCTCCAAGAAACATCCCCTCCACAGTGACAGTACTGTCCCTTCTAAGATAAAGAACATACTTTTACTGTTCAATATTTTATTTCTAGCCTACTACATAGAAGCATTAAATAATTATTTGTTGAATAAATTTAACAAGCAATTTCTACCTTGAGTGAGAGACAAATATATAAAATAATGAAGAGTAACAAGAGAAAAATTAGACGGTTTTCTACCTCGACATAAGACAGGCCTTTGTGGCTGTGCTCATTATACTTAGGTGACTTCTACGATCAGACACATCTATCCAAAATATGCAGAAAAGCATAAAAGGCCCTGGCCTGTTTGGCTCAGCAGGTGGATGGAGTGTTGGTCCATGGAACAAAGCGTCATGGATTCGATTCCAGTCAAGGGTATGTACCTCGGTTGCAGTTCGGTCCCCGGCCCTGGTTGGGGTTGTGCAGGAGGTAACCAGTCAATGTGTCTCTCTCACATCAATGTTTCTCTCTCTCTCTCTTTCCCTCCCACTCTATCTGAAGATAAATGGAAAAATATCCTTGGGTGAGGATTAAAAAAAGAAAGAAAGT